AAAAAATAAACTTTTGTGATGCAATGCAAATTAATTTACATTTCAAATGTTTCAAGAAAAGCTTGTAGATATTTCTAGAATTAAGTAGTAGATCACGTAAGGAAAGATTTTCGATCAAAGTTTTAATACATAATTAAATGAGATGTAATTCAAGCTGATAGGATAAATAGTTTTGAAGTTATGATGGTCTTCTTCATAATGAGTGCATTTCAAAGACAGTACTTTTTGTACACACACATGAAAAAAAGAAACATTTCAACTTTTCAAATATAAGCACTGTTGTTTCGTATTTTGTCTTATTTGGTTCAGTGATTTAAAATACAGACGAAATACTACCTCATTTGTCTGTATAGCATAGCAATGTAAGATAAATAAGTTCTAGTACAAAATGGTATTTGTTGTACAGGGTCCTAAAAATATAGTAATATTTTGAGAAGAATTCATTCATGAATATTTTGCCTATCGAAACTTCTGAACAGACAAAATAACAAATAAATATATGTATTTATGATGTCATGTAATTATATATGATAAAAAATTATGACAAGAAACTAATATTTTTTAATATTCCAAAAAGGTTTTTTCTTATTTTTCCAAAACGAAAAATAAGAAGAAAACCTTTTTAATGGCTTGTCATGGCAATGAATTTTATCTGATTTGGATTTCTATATTGAAAAATACAATAGCTTTGAACAAAATATTTCAATGAATATCTTAAATATTGGTTGCAGAGGAAATCATATTCACAATGGAAAAAAAAATAATAAGTCTCAAAACTAGAAAGAAAAAAAAAGTAGAAACTTGATTTAATTTAATCTTAAGTGTAATGTTTTACACATCTTGTTCCAATATTGAAAACGGAAAATAAAGTAATTCAATTGATAAACAGAAATGTTCACACATTTTGAAGAAATGATTAAATGTAATTCTGATGGTCGGATAAATTCCTTTCCTACATCAGCAATATTTATAGTTTCAGTATTAAAATTTTCAAAAATGTATACTTTAAACTGAGAAAAATAATGCACGAAAAAAGTTCTCAGAAAGTTATTATCACGAGATAATTACTTTGATGATCCTATAACAGTTTTATTAAAAAAAAAAAAAAACACTATATTAAGTGCGCTCAACATTCCTCCTTCCTCAAATGTTATGGAAACAAATTGTGCCATTTTTGAAAATATGATATTTTTTTCCAATTAAAGCTGTTTTTAATAATAATATTTTAGTTAAACGTTTGTATCAAATATATTTCATCGTTATTTTAATATTTGAAATATAAGTTAAGGTTAATTTTTTGTATTAGAATAAAGATTACTTTTGTTTATATAAATTAGTGTTGCAAAAACAACAGAGATAGTCAAATAAATAAGACAGAATAAATGTGCAACGGGTTTGATGTCTTAGCTCCACTCAATATAATGTGGTTATCATATAAGATAAGAATGAAATAGAAGATTAATTGCATTCTTAACCCAATTGTGATATTTCCTTGCTTTTTGAATTAACATATTTTCTTTTTTTTCTCTCTTAAGTATATATGTAAAAACTACAACATGTACCATTTTTGCCAGTGAAACCAAGGAATTTGAAATTAGTTTAATTTTAATGCAATGTAGATAATGCTGATCTTAAAGAATCTACTAAAGTCTCTCATAAAAGTAAAAAGAATTATCAAAACAACCTAATAAAATATTTTCTTCGAAGAACTTTTTTTTATTGGTTGAAAAACAATGGTTTATTTAAACCAAAATACTTTAAATGATGACATATTTTCAGTTATTTTCAACGAAACAATGTTTATAGCGTTTTATTAAATTAAATGCGATTTTTTAATTAAATTAAATATGATTTTTTTAAACAAAATCAAAGTTTGCTTTTCAATTTTAAATGAAAGCAAAATTGTTAAAAAGCATAAAAAATCGAATTTTTAATTTAAAAAATTTAATGGTGTTAATTTTAAAAATATAAAATAAGAACAAAATGTATTACATAAAAGCAATTTGATATAGGAATATAAAAAAAGCAATTCCAACAATACATTAATACGCAGTTTTGAATTTATTAAATAATTTAATGTAAACAATTGCTTACCTCCTTAGAAGTCAATTTCCTTTTCGTTTTGTTGTAATCCAAAGTAATGACATTTATATTTTAATTAATAGTTGCAAATAATTTTAATTAGTATCAATTAAAGTTAAATTTTAATTTGAAAGATTGAACAAAATAAAAGCTAACAAAAAATCTATATTTGAATTAAAAATAGTTCATTTAAATTAAGCAGTTAAAGGAGCTAAAAATTGAAGTTTAACAGAGTGATTCCCGCGTTTCTTTCAGAAAAAATATGTCAACAAAAGTAATCCCCTTCGATCCCTTAAAAGCTTGCTTCTGTTTTCCTAGAACATCTAGATAATTGCTTGTTTAAGACAACTGTGACTTACAGACAAATGCATGGTTCTGGAAATATATGATATTTTATATAAGGACAAAAAGCCTAGGGTCGTAAACAGGGCAATTTAAAGAAGTCAAAGGAATGACATTTTCCCATGGTGTAAAAGGAGATGCCTTGATGCCTATATTTTGAGGGGTCAGATAATTGTCTCGGTTGGTGATCTGCAGGTGTTGAGAGTCAAGGATAAAATATGTCAGTGAAGGATGTATTTTATTACACCAGGGAAGGGTAACAGAAAGGCAACTATTTTAGTCTCCTAAAGGCTTGTTTTATTTTTTTATGCTGAGCCCTTCTTTTGGTTAAATTTTAATTTTAAAATTTTTTCTTAATAAATTAGAAATTGTCATATGTGGAAGAAAATTCAAACAAAACAGACGTATTTGTCTCGGTTGGGGAGGGGGAGTTTTATTTTATTTTTTTATTTAAAAAATAGCTTCAAAAGGTGAAACAAATAGTAGTTTCTTTTTCTGAAATTGCTAATTCTATTTTATAAACAAAAATTACTTTATTGTAGTGAATGTCAATGTTTCAGAAGGAATGACGCTCATCAATTAAATTTATGAGGAAAATAAAGTTTGCTGCTTGAAAAATAGCTTAAAAGTAGAAAAAAATGAGTTATATAGTAATTTTACTTTATTTTCGTGAATGTCTGAATTACAGAAGATGCAAAGTACTTTCTTAACTCCCTCGTTTTAATTTAAGAGGAAAATAAAATTTTCTACTTGGAAAATATCTTTAAATTTGCTTTTCCTTAAAAAAAAAAATTTAAGCAGATTTCTTTTTTTTTATTTGGAGGAAAATTAAGTTTTCTATTTGAAAAATAACTTAAATGTTGAAAAAAATAGCTTTTTTCTCTTTCTGAATGTACTAATTATACTAGAACTTACTTTTGAGAATGTCTAAATTTCAGAAGGGGTGAAGCACTTCTTTACAATTTTGAAACAAAATAAAGTTTTCTACCCTCAAAAAATAGAGTGAAAATAAAGATATTTTTTCACTTTACTTTCCCAAATTTCAAAAGGCGCCTTATTTGCCCATTCAAGTTAATTTCAGAACAAAATAAAGTTTCTTATTAGGGGTATAGCTTCAAAAATACCTTTCCGTTCCTCTTTTCTGTGAAGCGTTTTTGCTCTTTTGAGGACGGGAAATAATTCTTGGAAAGAGTCTTTCACCCTATGTTAAAGTCGATTGTGACTACGAAAAATAAGATTTTAGCAAATCTTCACACAATCTCTTTCATATATATATATATATAAACTATTTTAAAAAATGTGGCGTGGTCCCTTCATATGGGGCCCCCTTGACCGTCGGGGCCCCGGGGCGGTGCCCCGACTGCCCCGGCGTAGTTACGGCCCTGGCTGGGAACTGTGTCTTCACGATCAGTCCACTGCGGGACACGTGTTTTGCGTATTCTTGTTTCAAAATGGCGTGTGATTGCATATACAGTAAGAATGCTCTATAAAAAATCTGATTGGAGTAGCAGGGAGCATTCACACTGTATACAAAAAAATAGCGAATGCGAAAATGCGAGCGAGAATTTGATTGGTGAGTTTTTCCGCAGGCATTATGAATGGCCCTTGTTATTCACCTTGACAATCCGAATTCAAAACGGTCCCGAAACAGTGCAAGTAACTCTGAGGAGTAACTTGTGTCAACCGCACCTAATTTGACTACAGATAGTGCTTTTTAAGATTTAAAATTATTTCCAAATTCAAATTTTTATGTAGAAATATGAAAATGTGCACAGATAAATGTTGGTACAACGTACCAGTAAAAATAACCTGTGAAGAAATATTAAGAAGTGAACTGAAATCAATGGTTGCGTTACCTGAAAACAAAAATCAAAAATGGCTGACTGTCTGTGAAGTAAAATGCATCTAGCTAGTGTGTTGCGATCAGCAAAATTAATGCACAACGGAAATTTTTATGCTGATACGCCGTGAATGGATCTTTTACTATAAAATTGTTAATAATGACTGCAAATATGTATAGAGTTGGTGGTATGTCTGTTGTTATTTCTTGTCGGCTCATTTGTACTTAATTGATTGTGGGCACCTATAATTATTGAAGCGGCATTTAAGATAAGAACAGTATTTTTAGAAATTAACTTAACAAAATATTACATTATGAACAATTTTCTCAAATTTAAAAACAAACACTGATTTTATTAAAGTCATTATGTTTTGTCTTTTCATTAAAATGTACTATGTTTGGGGGGAAAAAAAGGCGTCCGAAAAATACGAAATTTAAGCAGCTTAACTAAAAATTAGATTTGTTTTGGTTTAAACTTGCTCCATCAAACTCTAATTGCAATTTCATTATAGTTTCATCTTCCACAATAAGTTACGATGAAAAATTTTATTAACTGATCTCGGTCTAATGGTAAAATTTCCAAATATATTGGATTTTCAAAAGATTAATGCATTGACCGAAACAAAAAGAAACTCTTGAAAACATTGAAATATTCAATAGAAATCCTCCTGCTGCATGATCTGATTATTGTGTATTAAAGTGGGAATAAATTTTTTTTTCTAATCTATTACATTAATGGTTTTTATTTCATTGCTAATGAAACCGTACTTGTGAACTTCTGCTCTTTGAGGAATAGTTTTTTAATTTGCAGTGAAGTGACAATTGAAATACAATTTGAAGAATATATATATATTTTGAAATAGATTACTCACTTTTGTATTATGATGTATTAATGTATGTTTTATTTATTTTTCTTCGCAGTTATGTTTAAAATCATTTTAAATTAAATTATAAATCCGAAGATCAAAGATAAAATCCACTACCATTTCATGTATAAAAATTAAATGTGGAAAAAGTCGGGTATTGTTTTCACCAATGCTGTCTAGGATTAAACGTAGGTTTAAAATTTTTTTCCAATAAAGCTGGAATCGGAATTTTTTTAGCGAATTACTAATATAATTAGTTGGCAAATGCTCTTAGCTGAAAAGCTTTTTTAGTAGTTTGATTTTCTTTCATTCATCTTAGTGATTAATAAACTTCTGTACTCAAAGTCTTTTAGGAATTTTACTATAAATTAAATGTAATGTTTAAATGTCTGTGTCATAGCTTTCCTGAAAAAATATGTAATTTTAAAAAAAAAAATATTAGAAAATTTAAGGTTAAAACATTACAGAAAAAATAAAACAGATCATTATTAAATCCATGTTTTTATAATTTTTAAAATTAGTTAAATGAAGTAATTATTTAACAATATATATACAAGTTTAAGCAATTTTTAATTTTGTTAAAGATATGTTATGCTTGATACAATTAAATAATTTGCATGATAATTTAATGAATTATTATTAAATGGAGCAGCACAATTAAAATTTTTAGTTATATTTTTTATCGTGTTGGCTACATGGTACAAGCGTGGATACTTTTAAATTTTTAATTAAAGGATTAAATATATTAGTTTAAAAACGTTTCTATGAAATGTTTTATATAATTAAGAAATGAAATTTTGGTAATTTTTTGTTCAGATTAAAGCAGAAAAATTTGGTTTGAATAAAAAAAAAACATTTAATTTTACTAGAAAACAGATTTTTTTTCAAAAACCAATTTTAACCAATTTGTGTTTTTTATAATTTAGATTATGTCTATTTTGAAACTTCTTCTACTGCACCTTATCAGATTAGAAGGATAGAAGAGCTTATTAAGGTGAGTGCTCATAAAAGTCATCAATTGTTACATCCATATGTAAAATAATTTAAAATAGATTATTTTATATGTGAAATATATGTGCTTAATTTTATGTGCTTATATAATTATATTTTAAGAAATATTTGAAAAATATATACTGAACAATTATAAATAAAAAATATAAGGAGATTTGTAATTAAGTTATATTAATAATATACCATTTACCCTGATAAATCGATCTTTTGTAAATGTCAGCCAATGTTTGAAACTGTTGTGTGTCGTTATAAGAACTTTTTAAAAATATAGGTATTTTAAAAACGATCTCAAAATGAATGAAAAAACTACAAGTAATTATAAGGACTGTTGAAAAATTGATCGAAAATTAATGTGGACACACGCTGGAATCAAGTGTGTGCAAAAGTAATTATTAAACTATGAAAATCACTAGCCATAACATTGTGTTAATTAAATCAGAATTGGTAAAAAAAAAAAAGATGTGGAAATTGTCCCGAACTAACGATCCAAAAACAAGGGGATTTACGATGAAAGATGAAATCGATCTACTAAATTGAGTGTGTCAAAAAATTCAATTATGATGGAATTGTCGTAAATCGAGCACTTCAAGAACTTAAATTTGAACGTCATATTAAATCTTAGAAGAATTTGAGGGAAAACATTAAAACCATGTACAGAAGGCCAAATAAAATTATGAATAGCTGCCGAAAAAACTACTAGGTTGTCGAGAAGGTTAGTGCCGATGCATTATCTAGTATTATTGTGTCGACATGAGCTTTCAGAAGGACCCAGTATTAAAGGGAAATTGCAATGGAATCGTCACAAATTGAACGTCATAATAGCACCGTATTAAAAATATCGGATTTTGAAAAATCATGTGATAAAGGCCGATAAATAGCTCCCGAAAAACTGATCGTAAAACGGTGAGAAATTGTGAGAGGATCGTCATGAATCCAACGCATCAAGTTGTGATAACTCATATTTGAATTTTGAACGTCGAGTTAAACATTTTGATTTTTAAAAAACCACATAAAATGGTCGAAACATAACTTCTAAAAAATCCATCGACAAACATGCAAAATTGCAATAGATTCGTCACGAATTGTAATATTCAAAAATTCAGTTCAAAATCCGCATGTCATAAAAACACCAAAAAACCACATAAAAAAGGCCGAAAAATGCTTTGCTTTTGAAAAATTATCATTAACGATGTGAATTTACGATAGAATTGTCACATGTCAGGGGTCTGTCCAGGCCGAATTTACTACCGTTCAGCGGTACCTTCACAAATTCAATTTTAAGAAAAACGGTAGTTTCACAAAATACTTTTTCTTAAAATTTTATTTTTGTATCCCTTAAGAAACGATAAATCCACATTTTTACCATATTTTTCTGTTGATTTTTAAATATAACTTTTAAATTTTCACAAATTATGTCTAAATTTTCACAAAATAGGTACCTCTCAGAAAAACCTTGACAGACCCCTGCATGTCGAACGGATTAAATGGTGATAATTCAAAATCTAATTTTGAACGTCATAATGAAATCGTATTGAGTTTGAAAAACCATGTGAAAAAGGGTAATAAAATTATTAGTAGCTTCTGAAAAAATTATCATCGAACAATGTGAAGTTACGATGGAATTGTCACAAATCCAACACTTTCAAAAATGATAGATTAAGTGCAAAATGCACAGGTCAAAATAATATTTTTAAGAGAACTTGAAAAACCATATGGAAACAGTTGAAAAACAATTAATCACTGCCGAAACACTATTCATCATTACTAAAAAAACAACCAGAAAAAAGTGGCTTTACCGTAAAATCTGCTCAGCATATTTCTCCACCCTTTGAAATGTCTGGGCACATAATTTTTCAGTCCTGGGGCAACCAGGTTGTCTCTCCCTACAAACTCCGCTTAGAAAGAACCCTGGCCGAAGTAGGTTAACTTAAATCTGCTTTAGGGAATTCAGAGAATATTTAGGAATGAAGCATCTTTTTTTGTTGGGTTATATATGATTCTTCATTCCCACATTATGATTCATATTAACACATTTTACAGATCTTAAATTAAGATTTGTATTGCTGACAAGGACTACAACAAACAGACTATTTTGTATGTTTATCTAACTTATGAAATGTATAATATAATTTATATTAATGTTACTTACCAATTACCTATTACAAATCATGTATCATGATCAGCAATCAATATTAACACTGTATAATGCAATTACTCATTATAATTAGGATAAATAACTTTTATTTGTAATTATGACGTTATTTTTGACTGCATATTTTGTTAAACTTTTTTTGTAACAACTATTATTGTTAAATTATACACTTTAGTAGGGTTGATTATGTATTACTGAAATAATTTATTTTTAATTTGATATTACAGACACCAAATGGTAACGTAGAAGCAAAAGTCATGTGTTTTTTCAGGCGAAGAGATATAGCCACTTCATTGGTTATGATGGCTGACAAACAACGTATGTGTTTTAATTATATTATAAACATATTTAAAAAAAATTTTACTTTTATAAATTTAATAATTAAGATTTGTAATTTTTTGGACTAAATTTTTATCGCTAAAACTTTAATTTCTTTTCATTAGAACTAAAGTTCTAGGATCTGCAATTTTGTACAGTTTGTGTATTTTCTGCTAAATTATTGCATTAATTCTAGTAAATCAATATTGCTAGTACAGTGTTTTCATTACAGGAAAAAAATGGGAGAGAATTTCTCACCCTTTCTCAAAAGCAGGGTGAGATTTCAAAAAATTAAATGAGATTTCTAAAAATTAAAAAAACACGAATAGACTTGGAAAAAAATTATTTCTTTAATTATAATACATTTTTAACATCTTCTAACTGAATATTTTTGCTACATCATCATATGGAAAATGTTCTATATCTACTTTTTCATCAGCTATTATATTTATTTGGCTGAAAAATATCCGTATTTGTTTCGTTTTGACCGTTTCTATTGACATTTGTTTAATTTTAATTTGTCCATTACGGAGTAGAAGATGTCGCCTTAACGAGGTATTAGTCCATCTTACATTCATGCACAAAAAATTAAAACGTATTACATGAAGAAACCTTACCTATATTAGTCTCTGAACCTTACCTACAGTGAACACGTGGTTGCAGAGAAATGTGTTGTAATAGGGGTTCGTGGGGTGTTCTGCTGTTCGCACCGGTTCTGAACAATACTGATAAATGGGGAAACTAGATAACAAGGACCGATGTTCAAAGTAATGAAAGATCAAGGAAGTAAAGTGAAACGAATTTTATTCAAAATGGCAAAAGACGAAAGTTTTTCCAAAATTCGCGCATTTTGAAAATGATTAATAGAGTGTGTGAATTTTCTATTGATTGGCATTTGGTTGATTTTATTTTTTGTAAACAATTTGTATTATAAATTCATCTCAATTCATAATTCACTTCAATATTACAATGAAAAGTGTTATGAATTGCTAGGACTTTCATCATAATGTAAAAATAGTTCCGAATTATTTTTACCACTGTAGTGGAAATAAATCTTTCTATACTTTTACAGAAATAAGCATCAACACATTCTTGATTCTGTCAAAATTTCATTTAAATCTCAGCTACTAATTTTTATTATTATTTCATGGAAACAATTTTTCATGTTTGTATTTTTTTATCTACTAATAACTTATGTACTAATAATTTGGTTAAAATAATTTCATTGCTGTAAGTGCCAATTATATTGCTATATATCATATAAAGTAATTGTCTAAAAGTGTTTATCTATAAATTATTCATTACACTTTATTTTATAATATTTATTTTTATTTCCTTCTTACTGTCCTTCTCTTATCTTATTAAATTTTTTTATTAAATATTATTCAAAATTTAAAGAATATAACTTAAAGGTGCATTCCTTGATTACATTATCAAGTAATTGTTTGGTACTTATTCAAAACAGTTTATGGTATACATATTTTACTACTTACTTTTTAATAAGTTATATTTTTTCTTTTAATAATAAAACGTGTGCATGCAATATAAATTTAAAATAGTGAATACAAAGCAGCTATTTAAAATTATAAAACAATTATTCAGATTATTTTTTTTGCGCTATTGCAAATATTCTCTTCTGTGAAAAATAGTGATATTCCAAAAGATCAAAAAATAAAGTAGAAAATAAGTTTGGGAATAAAATTGCTATGGTAACTGTGAAATAATTCTGTTTAAAATTTATCTAATAGAATCAGGAATAGAATCCATTTTAATTTAATAAAAAAATTTAGTGACCTTTAAATGGAGTATTATTTATTTTGATGTTATTAATTTAAAAAAAAGGAAAAGAAATGATTGCTAAGTAATAGTGGAGGTTGATGAGAGAAGACTTTCTAATAATATATTGACACCAACTCAGATTTATTGCCATGCGCATTTCTATTATCTACATTTTAATCCTCTTTTTTTTGTGTTTTATTTTAGGTCATGAAAATATGGATGCTACTTTGATAAGTGAGTTTAAATTTGTACATTTATCTTATTACTAAGCTTTAGATATTGATGACTTAAGAATTCTTTTAAAAAGCCCTTAAAAATGTTAAAAAGATGTGTCTGAAATCCATTAAAATGAAAAGTAATTCCTTAAATTTTTTTTGTAAGAACGTGTTTTGTATAATTAGTTTTTTATTTAAAAATAATAATAATTATAAAATATCGTAGCTTGTAGATATAATCTAAGTAAACAATAAAGTAATTGGAGTAAATATGTAATTTAATTTATGATAAATGAATATCGAATAAAAATAAATAGGAATTTATTAATTTTTTGTTACAATCTTCAAGAGCATCAGAATTAGATTTTATTATCAAATGTTTTTTGACACTTTTTTGAAAGTAAATCTTAATTCTTTTCAATATCCATTTGTTATTGGAGGATAAGAATATTTAAAATAAGAATATTTAGTGGATAAGAATATTTAGTTCAATGTAAAATTAACACTAATTTATTAAGTAAAGAATTAAATTCACTAACAAAATTCTCTAAAAATGAAAAATATTCAAAATTCATCGGGGGGAAATTTTCATGGAGAAAAAAATGAGCAAAAAAAAACGGAAAAAGTTGCCCTATGAAGGGAAAAATAGTTACAAATGTCTAAAATAAAAAAAATAAAATAAAATGCAGTTATCATCATAGCTTATGAGTGAAGTATGTAATTTAACTCATTCAGGGCCTAATACAAATGGATTTTTTATGCGTTTATCAGTAGTTTCATAAAAATCACCCCCCCCTACCCAAACGGTACTTTTGCCAAAATCATTGCACGGTACTTTTATAAAAATCGTAATTATGCTAGCAAAATCGGCACCTTCCCAGAAGGAATAAAAAAAACGAGAGTTGTGCCTTTTTATTAAATACTTGACTCTTTTGCAGAAAAATAATTCAATACTTGTACATAATTTATAATATTTTGTAAATGTATTATAACATATAATACATTTAATCTGATTAATCTCAGATTAATTAATTAAGTTCAGAGCTTAATTTATCATGAGATATGAAACTACTTTGGAAAACATTTTGTAAGTTTCAGTTTAACTGTTTCTGAAATCTATGAATTTCCTTTTAAGGTGCCTTAGAGGAAGAACAAGAACGTGAGGCAGAGCAATTAGCTGAAAAGGAACGTCATCAACTGAAACACAGAGAACTTTTTCTGTCTCGACAAGTAGAAACACTGCCAGCCACACATATTCGAGGGAAATGTTCTGTAACACTGTTAAATGAAACTGAATCACTTCTTTATTATCTGAATAAAGAGGTAAAGTACTCATTAAATATGATCTTAAACAAGTTTTTCAAACTTTTATTATTACAAAATGTATGTTTAAATAATATGTTTTGTTAAAACTGGTTGTGTTTTTTAAGTGAAAGTTAATATCAAAATGTGAAAAGTTTATCAGCTTAATTTAAGATTTCTATTTTTTTCTTCTTTTTCTCAATATATTTTATCAATGTTAATTCAACTGAAAATATACCATTGAATAAAATAGCTTCCTGTAAGTTTAAACTGTAAGATTTTGATTTGTATGAATCTAAAATTTTAGTTCATTCAAATTTTTCCTAATATCAAATATTTTTGAGTAACCTCTTGATTTTATCTTACATTTGCTCACATTAATTTGCATAGGTATGTCTTGAGGAAACTCTAATTCTGCTTATAGATTTGAAAGGAATGTTTTTTTTTTTTTTCTATCATTTTGCAATAGAAATATTTTTTAAAATAAAAACTATTTGGTTTAAACCAGACAACCCTGATATCTATTACAAAAGTCTCACTTTGCGATTTCTTTACATGAGTTTTAAAATTGCACATTAAAATTCATATACATGCAATTTAGAAACCCACTTTTGCGTGCATGCAGTTTCAAAATAAAACATCTTGATTCATATTCACTTGATCTTAAAAGCACACATTGTTATTGGTATGTGTGCGATTTAAAAATAAAATGCAATTTGTGTTTACTCAATTCAAAAATCCATACATAATGATTTATATTCTTGCAATTTAGGTTTAAAAGTAGACAATACTAATTTGTGGTTAAAAAGAAAAGTCTGTTTTGGCTATAGTCTTCATAACATTTATTTTCAATGTTGTCACAAATTATTAAAAAATATTTTGTAAATTTCATGAATATAATTTTTTGAAAATTTCATGAATATTAAAAAAAGAATACATCAATTTCTCCTTCATGGTAATTATAATCAGGATTTATATCTTTCCATAAGCATTAATTAACAGCAATGAATTAATATAGGGGAATTTTTCATATACTTTTTCTGGCTAAAATTCCAGAAATTTTTCACGGTCTGTAATCATCCCTGTTAAATTTAATGGTAATTTTTTCATGCAGATTTTTCTATTTTTCAAAATGTTTTGTGATAATATCATTAAATAAAAGTTTGAATCATATTCATTTATTAAAAATATCTAAAAAAAATTCATTTGTAGATAATTATATATTTCAGTTACATTATTTATTTTAGTAGTGTGATCTCAATCTTTGACTTTAAACTTATTCATTTTGAGCTTTTAAAATTCTATATGTACATTCTTTCTAATATTATTGGAAATTGTTGAACTGTTGTTATTTATCCATGGCTAGAACTCTACTGAGAAAAAGCTATATTTTTGAGACAAAAACACTATTTTAGAAGGCAAAATGTCATTTCTGCTATTTTCTTTTATTCCTGTATAATTATTATAATAAACATTTTAGGACTGCTTCTTTTACTCTTTGGTTTTTGATCCACAACAAAAAACGCTATTAGCAGACAAAGGAGAAATTAGAGTTGGACCTAGATACCAAGCTGAAATTCCACCTATGTTGCCAGAAGGTACTTATTTTAAATAATTTTACATATTTAATGTAATTTTTACCTTTTTGCAAAAATAGAATAAAATTGTTGATTAATTTATTTTGTATACTCTTTTATGCAGGCACTGAAGATCCTCGAAAATTAGAAGATCTTGAAGAGCTTGTTTATACACCACACCATAATTTGACAGATAGACAAATTGACCAGTTTTTAATTATCTGCCGGTAATAAATTAAATTAAGCTATTTCTTTATGATTTATTCAAATTAATTTCAATGTTATTAAATAAAAACTTTCCATATTTCAAAATTGTAAAATGATAAATGTTGTCATTGTATAATATTAGGCTTATTGCTTTACCGTACAAGCTACGGCTGAAAATGATTAAAATTCAATAATATTTCCAACACTACTTATGCTAAAATTATGTCAAAAGTGGGTTTTTTATGTTTTGTTTTACTGATCATCATTTCAAAATCCAATAAAAATGAATTTTTATTAAGATATGATTAATAACAAAATAAAATACAGTTCAGGATCTTTATAACCAAACCCTTGAAACCTGGAACTTTGAAATTTTGTGTTAGATAGATCATTTATCTTTAAACTTACCTGCTAATTATGGCAAATCTTGTCTAGAACAAATCAACTTTTAAAATAAGCATTAGGTATAACAAATTAAAAAAACACAAACAGTGCAAAGTATTTGATATTTACAACAACAAAAAAAATTGAATTTTCTGCAGCTGTAGAACTACTATCTAACAAATTAATCAATGTTCATTTGCTTAGCTTTTGGAATTTTGACCTCTCAGATAATCAAACAAATATTGTAAAAAGTTAATAGTTATTGCTTAGTTATTAGAAATTTCTTAATTGTAAATTTCATTATTTACACCCACGGAGCTAGTGTGGTTTAGGAAAATTACAGTATATAGATCTTCTACTGTGTTACATATTATATAATAAAAATTTTTCTGTTTCATAATCCTTTATTAAGTTATCTTAGCGATATCCTGTTATGTTTTTTAATTGTTGATTTTTTTAAATTCCAACATGGAATAAGTAAAATGCAAATTTTTTCTTTATTCTTATATTTGTAATTGTATTTCATCGGCATGTTTGTTAATAATTGCATTATTTAAGGTCTGTAGGCACATTTGCAAGAGCCCTGGATTGCTCTAGTTCAGTTAAACAGCCAAGTCTTCACATGAGTGCAGCTGCTGCTTCTAGGGACATTACATTAGTAAGTTTAACAACGAAAAATATTTCTCTTTTAGAGTTATTTGATTTTTTGAAACCAATGCAAAAATTCTTTTAATATGATTCTGAAGAAAAGTTGTAATTCACTTCTGTTACCTTTATCGAAATTTTTTTTTAAGGTGAAACCGGAAGTAATAGTTTTAAGAATAAAAGTCTTTACAAATCACTCTATTTCTAACACACACAATTTTTTAGCAGAAGAAATTCAAAACTTTTCTTTGCTTTCTTCCAGTAGTTTTGGACAGTATAAACTTAGCTTTGATACAATCAATAATATATGGTTGTTTGTTTAAGTTTCTGAAAAAAACAACTTCCGTTGAGCAGATTTGCTCAATTTTTTTCTGATAGAAACTCCACTCTACATTCCCACAGAAACTAAAAAGATGCTATCTAATTGCTAAAAAAAATGTTATCTATTAAGATCTTATTTGAAAGTGCATGTAATTACATTTTATAGATTGTAATATTTAAAATTTGCAAATTATTGCATTTCTATGCAAACACTTTAATCTTAGCCATAGATATAACTGTAAAAAGAAATTTTTACAATCATGCTCAGAATTGCACTAAAACAATAAGTAATTTAAAGTCAGGCTAAACAATAAAAAAATAATTAAAGCAAGTTATTTTTCTAATACAGCTTTTTGTTTCTCCCCCCAAGGCGCAATTTTTAAAAAAATTTTAATTAAAAAACTTCATATATTTTTATTAATATTTAAAACTTTACAGAGCCGAGCCACTCACTTCAAGGGCTAGTTTTGACCGGCAGGTTGTGCATCCCCACAATTAGTTTCAAATAAAAAAAATTCTACGCTCACTGTTAGCCTAAAATAATTTTCTGCATTCTAAATAATAAGTTGTTTTTTAAAGAGTTTAAATAGTTTTTTTTCCTTCCTTAGTTCCATGCTATGGATATTTTGCACAAGCATAATTACGACATAACTACAGCACTAGCATCTTTAGTGCCGAGTGGTGGACCAGTTTTATGTAGAGATGAAATGGAAGAATGGTCTGCTTCAGAGGCCAACCTTTTCGAGGAAGCATTAGAAAAGTATGGCAAAGATTTCATCGATGTCAGACAAGATTTCGTAAGTTACAAATCACTTTTTTTAGTCTTAATTGTATACTTCATTATTAGCATCTAAAATGATATAACTTATTTTTATCGATTTCGCGAAATGGTATTGTATTTGCCAAGATTTGTCCTGATCTTTCCTGTAATTTTTAAAAAAATTCTTTAATTTATCTAACAAACATTAACATAATACTAAAAAATTTATCTGGTTAATTTTTTTAGTTAAATTGTGGTAAATTTATTAAATATATGTGGTTTGTTAACATTGTTATCTTAAATCAAGCATTATACCAGTTAGGAGTGACTTATGTCTAGAATCAATATCTCCCGGATAGTTTAGGAATTTTTTCTAAACGTTGCAATTATGACTTTTTAAAGTTGAGAATCAGATTAACTGGACTATGTAATAAAGTATAAAAGTGATAATGTGGTAAATATATATATCAAACATTATTAGCCTTTTCTTATTTATTATATGTATATATTAATGTTTATAATAAAATATTTAACTTTTCAACCTTTGAAGATAGTATTCATTCATTATTTTATATATAGCTGCCTTGGAAAAGTTTAAAGAATGTTATAGAGTATTATTACATGTGGAAAACTACAGACCGTTATGTTCAGCAGAAAAGAGTTAAGGCGGTGGAAGCTGAGAGCAAACTAAAACAAGTGTACATTCCTAACTAGTTAGTATACTTATTTATTTATTTTTTTTTACTACTTTTGCTGAACTTAAGTAGTTTGAATTAACTTAATCTCAATCATCTCTATACTTTACAGTAATAATAAACCTGGCGTATTAAATGGAGCCAATCCTGGTGAAAGTCCTTCTGCTAGTGGGCGACCTTGTGAAAGCTGCTACAGTATGTTTTTAGTCATAATATTTATATTATCATAATTATTTTTGTCAAGATAATAGTATGATAGTATTTTTGTTATTAAATTTTAGCCCCCACATCTAGTCAGTGGTATGCATTTGGACCTGCTCATTTGCAATGCAGATTGTGCCAATCTTGTTGGAATTACTTTAAACGTTTTGGTGGATTAAAGTATCCTACTAGATTAGGTGGGTAATTTATATTTGTTATGAAAGTTATCAACATTAATTAATTTTATTCATTTATTTTTATTTAGTTAGTAGTTTATTCTTATTTATGTTTTTGCTGACATGTTAGATTTATAAATTCATGTGACTCCTGTCGCAACATATTCAAATTTTTCATAATATTTTAATAAGTTCAAGTGTAAAAAACTTTCCCTCTAGCTTTTCATTTTTGTTTAAGAATTAGCGTGTTTTATTTCAATTGCATTATTTATTAATTTATTTAATAATTAATTGCATTATGTTTTATTTTAATTGCGGCGTGCAATTATTTTAATTGCAAGCTGTACTGTGTAGGGGTGCGATGCGTGCACTATGGTTAAACATGGAATTTAAATACTTCTAAAATTCTATGTTTTTTTAATTTATGTAATATTTTAAATATTAAATCCTTGTGCCCTTTCAAAAACTACTTTTAGAGTTCAAAATCTAGAATCCTATTCAGTATTAAAATGCATCCAATTTTTGGTAAGCATTCAATTTAAAAACAGCTTCATTATAAAATAATGCTAGACAATTAAAAATGTTGTGCTGTATTATCTTTTTGTTTTTAATTCAAAACTTGGACTTATTTAAATTATCTTAATAGGTGTAAATATTTTATTGATAACTTTTATTTTCTCCGAACTTTTTCCCTTCTTTAAATGATACTTATTAATAGTAATACATACTTTTATTCCAGAATCTGTAGATTTAATCTCTGGATCTGGTTCAGATAAACTCCAATCACACATTGCTTCGCATAGGCCTCATAGGTGTACAATATCTGGATGTGGAAAAGTAAGTTTTTGAAATTAAACTTATGTTATTGTTCTTGTTCTGGAAATAACTTTTTGTAGGTATTGTGTTATACTAGATCATAAAACAAAATCTTAATATATGTAAATCTTAATAAACAAGTAATAATAGTTATTTTTTCTTCCGTTGCAAATGAGCTTTGACTATTGTGTATTTTCCTTTTGAATCAGTTGTTTCCTACAGTGAGCATTTATGAGCAAATTCTAAGCATAAATGTAGTTTTATTTTAAACTCTTAATAACTATATTCATATTAGTGTTAATCATTTAACTCATAAACTTTTTATTAAAAATGTCCTTTTATAAATGCCAAATCAAGTAATGTAGCTGATGAGAAATACTCTTAGTGTTCTCTGAGTGATCAGTAAAATAAATAGTCTTACATTAACATCCAACTTGGCATAACTGGCAAAAGTCAGGAGTGTATTTGGTAACGATGTAAGCTTCTAATGTTAATATTTTTTTTAAAAAATATAACACAAAATGCATGAGACAAAAAAGTTACAATTCTCATTTTCTGACATTTTATTAAAAATAAAAGTTCCAAATCAGGCTTTTTTAAAATAAAAGTTACAAAATCTGTTACAGAGATATGAAAGTATCTGTATATTGCTTATGTGTTATTAAAACATTGAATTTAGTTCTTTATGTATTTTTAATTATTATGCTCAAAAAATATTTTAGAGGCACAGTGTGTAACATAATATAAATTTTTTGTGTATATATTTCCTTTTGCTTTATTTTTTTTTTGAGAATTTCTGTAAGCATCTTCAAAGCGTTATATGTATGCACCTTCAACAGATCGAGTTTAAGGTCTTTGCATTTTGTGTATTTAAAATTTGCATTTTGTATATATATTTTTAAGTGTAGAGGTCTAAAAAACACATTTTTTGGATTATTTTATATCATTAAAGTATAAATATTATAAGAATATGTTAGAGAAGGGAAACTTTTTATGCCTCTGGCAACTATTTTAATGGCTGTTTTTCATATCTGAAGCAACTATTTTTGAAGTTTTACCCTAGTGGCAGTCCTGCATTTATTATTGATTGATCTACCATTCATGTTTAAAGTTTTCATTAACTAATTAATAATGTTGGTTAAGCTATTTATCTGTTCACTTATTAGGTAAAATGCAGCATCTGAAATGTTTTTTAAATTTTTTTTAAGGAATTCAAGTTAAAAGCACACCTCGCAAGACATTGTGCTACAGCTCATGGACTTGTTATAAGAGCTGGGAGCCCTAGGCCAATTATGAAAACAAGGGCAGCATTCTATCTTCATACTACGCCATTAACCAGAAAGGCTCGACGTTATGCAAGCCACTTAGTAAAACCACGACATGCTGCGAGAAATCCTTTCCAGCCCATCAATATTCTTGCAATCAAACAAGAATGTATGTCTCTTTTTGGCAATTTAAACTCTACAGATAGCTCTTAATTTATGCATGCTTTATTTGCATATTTAGTTGCATTTATTTTATTTATTTTAATATTATAAAGTATTTAAAGAAGTGATCAAAATTTTTCCAATAAATTTTGTGTTAAATAAAGGAATTGAGATCTTTTATTGTTTGTTTGTAATATATTTTCCTGAAAAATTATTCTATATGAAAAAAACATATTATATAAATAATTTGTTTAAATTTTTTTAAATAATTAGACGATGTATAAAAATTGTAATGAATTTTTTTAAAAAAATTTTTTTTACTATTTTTATTTTATTTTATAAATTTCTTCAATTAGTTTTGAAATTTTGAACACTAACTATACTTATTAGAATATAATCAGTTTGCACAGTTTTGAGTATTTTCATCTGCTGTCAGTTAATTAACTCTTTCTTAAGCAAAAAAAGTTCAAAATTTTATGCAAATATGAATTACATATCCAGAATTCTAATTCATAATGCAAAAACAGTTTTGTACCTTCTCCTTTGTTGATAGTATTACGTGAAGTCAGAAACTTCTAAAAGCAGCAAATTTATTTTTATACCTTAATCAATGTATTAGTCAATAAAGGAAATACTTGAAATATTAATTTTTTTTTTCTTATTCCATCCTATGCAATTTTTTTCTTTTTTTTAAAGAAGGTTAATTTAATCCTTTAGTAGTGTTTCAACATAAACAAAAACACAATTCTTTTTTTAATTTCGAACCCAAATTATACTCACTTTTCTAGTTCTGGTTTGTTCTTTCATTTCAAATTTCTCTTTTGAGTTGCACATAATTTATTATTTCTATGGGACTTTTTTTATAAATAGCAAAAATAAACCAAAGATGAAAATCCTCCACTTTTTTATGCTTTATACCAGACTTCCGTGTTTACAGATTTTTGTGTGACTTTATCCAATTTTAGCTATAAAATGATTTAAAAAACGGATATCATAAAACCAAAATCCAATTCTCTTGTATCAAAAGATTACTATCGCCATGAATGCATTTACTCAGTTTCAAAATGAACAAACTCTCACATTTCGAAAAATGCGGATTTGCGGTTGGATTGTCACAACTATAGTGTGTTGTAAAGTGCTTACTTAAAATCATGATTCACAATTCATAGATCAAAATAGTATATCTAAAAAGAGATAAAAATTTTAAAATTAGCATGGTAATATGTAGCAGTAACTGTTGAAAATGTAACAGAGTAAGCCTTACAGACAATAAAATTGTCGCATTGCTAGTGCTTTAGAAAGTTATTTTTCAAGTGCGTGATTTGAAATTCTCTGTACAGAACAATGTCCCGCTAAAGAGTCGTTTTGAAAATCGTGAAATTGGCAATGAATAACATAACTGTGATCAATTAAACCATGTAGGTTTACAGAATCCTCAATAATGGATTGTGTAAAAAAGTGATTCCTCACTTGTGCGATTTCAAGTTCTCCGGAAAATAATGTTATAAAACATTGAGATTTTAAAAGCCGAATGAAAACCATTTTAAGTAACTACCAAAAAAAAAAAAAACGATCATGCAGATTTATTGTGGTAAAAAAGTGATTCCTCACTTGTGTTATTTGAAGTTCTCCGGAAAATAATGTTATAAACCATTGAGATTTTAAAAACCAAATAAAAGCCATATTAGTAACTACCAAAAAAACGATCTTGCAGATTTATTGTGGTAAAAAAAGTGTTAACTCAAATGCATGATTTGAAATTCACGAATGTTGTAGCAAAACATCAAGAATTTAAAATCTATGTAGAAATTTGTAGCAACAAATACCAAAATATTGATTGACAAACCTTGTGGATTTCTGGTCGGAACTTCTCCAATTAAATTATTCAAAAAGTAACTACTAAAAAGCACGATTCTCAATTCAAATTACATTATGATGTCGTATTACAACATTGAGATTTTAGAAACTGGATATCTTTAGCAATGACAGCAAAAAACTACTTTGTCTTAAAAAATGAGTAAAATCTAGAATTTAACAGAAAATTGACTCAATACCAACATAATTGAACTCAATATCATGCATTATGTTAAGTATTACTAGTACTTATAATTAAAATTTCCTGAATTCGAAATAAATAATGAAAAAATAAAATTAACTTTAAAACAGTCAAAATGTTATAATCATTCAATTATTGTTTCCTGCATTGTTGATTCTTATTGTAAAAATCAAAAATTTCTAATTCCAATATTGATCTTCAATTTAAACTGAAATTCAATTTTTTGAACCTTAATTCAATGAATTTAAAGTTAATTTTTTTTTGTAAATATTAAACTAGCCGGACCGAAGTAATATGAACTTGTTTCATTTGTATTTATACTAAATAATTTTTCATGTACTAAGTATTTTCTTAATTGGAATGCCTCCATCAATCACCAGTATTTTTCAATGCCTAATTTTTTTATTTTCAATTTATGTTTGTAATTAACTGTTGAGATTCAATAAATTAAAGTTTTTAAGAATTAGTCTTGATTCATTTTTTGAGGACAAGTTAGTTTAATTTCTATGAATCCTTGTGATTTATTAAGTATTTGGTATTAATGTTAGCAAATTTATTCAATCATTAACTATATTTTATTAGAATGTGCTCCAGATATATACTTAAAACTGTGTCTTTAACTATATATCTCTGAAGCACATCCTGGACTTCGGTATTAGCGCTAATTTAAACCATGGAGTCTCAAAAATCACCACCTATATTTTTAGATAGTATCGCGTGTAGTTTACGCCATTTAGATTTCTTGAATTTTCATCTCACATACTTTTGCTTTGAAAGTGATGTATAAAAGTATCTCACAACTTTTAATGTTTTTTTAAACGTGCCAGAATGTTTAATAATACGCCTGAAATTACAATATCTGAAAAAACTTTTAAAAATACCCTTTGTTTTGTTTTTTTAGTGGGATCTCACAAAAATTTGTTTAAAAAATTCAAATAATTGAAATCAAGTAAATAGTAATTGAAATTAGATAAATGAACTAATTGAAAATAAATTTCAAACTTTCAGAATAAAGAGGTATAAGTGTTTTTACTCATATCAGGTTTTCTTGGTAAAATTTTAATTTCTTATAATTTGAGCCAATGTGAATGTCCATTAAAATTTATGTTTTTCATTTTCTTCCTGGGTATCATAAATTTTAAATCGGTATTAATCTTGGTATTTTAATATATGACATTTGTTGTTCCATGACAGTGCAATATTATGAAATTCTTTCCCAAAGCATATTTACTAAGAGCAGATACATTTTTAATTTGGATTTGATGAATTTAAAAAGAAAAAAAATGGAAGAACGTACTTGATTTTGAACATAAATTTGTACTTCTAAGCATATGAAATAGAACTGATAATTTTTCCTATTTTAGTTTTTTTAAAATGGCTAACCAAAATATTTTCTTTAATGAATCGTTTCTTTTTGGTCGAAACTCTGTTTCAAAACTTAAAAAACTAATTTAGTCGGACAGAGATGATTAAATTTACCATTGTGTAAATTACTTTTAAAAAAAATCTAAAATAGTATTAATAATTAAAGGGATTTAAGTGTTGGTGAAGAGTTGTTATCTATTGAAAATGCATTTCATATTTTTCAGCAGTTAGGAGAAATTATTATAATTGAAAATGAAAAGAGGGTGAACTGAAGTATGTACGTACTGAGTTAAGTACTTTAAAATGAAAATTAAATTGATGACAAACATGGATTTATAGACTAATTAAAGTAAGATTTGATAGTATGATCTATAAAAAGGTAATGATTAATATTGCATCAAAACACCCTTAAGATTTTAAAATTCAGTGCTATTAACATTTTTTAACCAATGCATATTACTTTGTTTTACTCATAATAAAAGTAATAGGAAAATAAACATTTTTTATTGTTTAAAAGTAGTAAATAAATTGGTAATAAGGATGCAATGCTAAACTTAAAGCATTCTAATGAGATTCTTAATTCTTAAAAAAAACTATTTTTATTAATATTTAGTTCACACTAGAATGATTGAAGGGCAACCTGATTTGCCAAAACTTGGGCCACACGAAAGAGGTCGTGTTGTTGATGTTTCTCATAGACTTGGGACACCCAATTTACCCCCTCCTGAGTGGTTGCTACCTACCCCCTTGGATAAAATTCCAAAACTAGAACGTGAAGCTTTTCCTCCGCCACCTCGAAATGAAGGTATGAATTTACTAAATTATTTTGATTTTAAAAACGTATTTTGCAATTGAAGAACTTATAAAATGATACAATATTCACTTTCTTCATAGATGGCTCTCTTTCAATACCTAAACATCCAATGGACATGGAGGAAAATAATGTGCGTCTAACACCCAGCATTGCTAGTGCATCACCAACCATTCTTCGAAAAAGAGGATACGAACAACAGAATGGGGTTGAGCCTGGTAAATATATTATTTTTACTTTTATTATTTTGTACAATCTAGTTTAATCAAATGCAACTTGAATACTGCTTCTTAAACATCTAAATCAGTTTTCCCAACCCATATATTACAGACCATTACTAGGTTGAGAGTCCAAGATAAATCTTACTATCTAATACCAGTTTTTCAGTACAATTCACAAGTTCTTTATGTATATATGTATGTATATGTAAACCTATGGAAAAACATATTTATATGTATTTATATAGATTTTGTAATTATATTTTTTACTTGTATATTTAGTAATGAGCCTCAAAGTTTTTTTTTACTAAATTAGTAGCAACTAAAAAGGCTAGTAACGACTCGTCTAATCAATTGTTGCACTTTTTATAAGTCCTTAACAGCTGTAACATTCCTGAAATAAGTATGCTGATTGGCTAGATAAATGCTACTTGCTATGCCCATAGTCTTATGTTTGTTATCAGGGTAGGGTATCTAGTCGTCACGAGAATCATGAAAGTCACGATTTTTTTTAATGAAGTCATAAAAATTTTTCGTTCTAAGAAGTATTGCTCAAAATCAAAATTTGTGCTTTGGAGTAACATAAAAATTTTAATATAATAATGTATTCTATATAAGGTCGTCTATATTCTGTAGTATTATACTATAGAAATTTGAAAATAGGGGGGAAAAAACAGCAAATAACTGCTGAATATTGAGTCCATAAGTGATGCAAATTTAGTCTGAAACCATTGCGGATCAAATGTATAAAAAAAAAACTCTAAAAAGAATTTTGTTTGTAGCCATAACATCGTGTTAAAAACATCGAAACTGTGGAAATTACCGAAATAAACGTTAATTACTGAAAAACTAACTTAATTCATCAGCGAAGGACATGAGTTTTTGATGGAGGTTTGCGAATTGGAAAAGGTCTGAAAAAAAATTAGAAAACTTTGTAGATATAAGATTGAATTGAGCATGTTAAAAAGTAATTACTCAAATGAGAATTCTTGAATAATAATAAAAAAAGTCAAAATTTATAAAAGCATGTGTAAATGGCCAAAATAATGAATTATATCTGCAAAAGGGACAGAAAAAATTATTGATAAGCACTGGAGATTTATGATAGAATCGTAAGCAAATGTCTAAAAAAGTGATTACTCTAATTTGCAAAGCGTAACAGCTTATCAAAATAATCGTTGTTAAAAAAAAAAAAAAAAACAACAACTTCATAAGTTAAGAATAAGAATAAGAAAAACGATGGGAAACGACAAGATTGCCGTAATGTCAGAAAGTGTTAACTCTAATTCAAAATTCATGTGTAATGGCCACCAATAATAATAGAATAGTACACATATTGTATGATTATTGGTGGTTATCTGCAATTGTTTCACTGTATGCAATTTATTTTTAGTGTATCCCGAAAAGAAGTTCAGAGGTAGAGTTCTTGACGTCAAAAATTGGTTTTTACCATGACTCATTAAAACCTGTCGAAATTTGACAAAAACTGTCTAAAACCTTTTTTCTTTTTTGTTTGGGGACATTGAATTAGATATTAAACGATGTGCAATGCTTGCATTATATACTACTAAAATTATAATATATCATAAATATATTGGAACTATTAATTGGTTTTTCTAAAAACAAGGTATTTTAATACTTTAAGACCAATATTATTTGCTGTGTTATAATTATTCAGTTTATATTACAGGTGATAACTATGAGTAGTTAATTATTATCAATCTAAATATTGATTTCAATTCTGTTATGCCACAATTTAGGCAGATTTTTCAGATTAAGTAAAAAAAACTAAAGTGATCACCAATAATTGTCTGATCTCAATTTATAATTTTCTTTTTGATTCTCTATCTTTATTATTGCTACTTTTGTGCGGTGAAGAAGAATATGTCTGATTGCGCAAATGAGGTTTCAGGGGGAAAATTCGGGCAATCCTAGAAAATTTTTTGGTCTAAAGAAATTCCAGCAATTTTTTTTTATTTATTGAAAAATGTGTTTGTGTGCGTATGTGTCCTTGTTTATAAAATATTGCGTATTTATTATTCAGCTTTATTTTTAACACACATGCTCGTTTATTCAGGAATTCTGTAAAATTAAGTGAATTTTTCACTTTGTTTTTATTTTCAATTTTTTTTTTTTTTTTTACAATATAGAAACTTTACTTTTCAAAAAATACTTTTAAAAAGTTATTGCGCTAAAAAAAATAATAAAAAAATAAATAAAAACTCTAAAAAAAATTTCTATTGTTCTGATGGCTCTGGAAATTTTCTGCACCCATACTTATATGTACATGAATATTTCCAATAAATCATGATTATACATAATATATTCCCTGATAAGTAAACTAATTATTATTTACAAAAATATAAATCTTAGTTAAAATGAGAACAATTTTTTAAAAAATGAGCTTAAAAAAAATATATATATATATATTTTTTTTGGTTATAGGGAAGGGAGGAGTTAAAATGAGAATGGGATGAGAAGTTTAAGTTTTTTTTATAAGATTGTTTTTATATTTTTTTAATTTTCAATAATATTACAAATTAACAGATTGAATAAACTGCAATTTATGCATTTTTATTTATAATTATTTAATGTTTTCTTTACCACAACTGTGTTTTTGACAGTAATTGTCAAAACAAAAAGAGAGTTTAATGTCAAAATAATTCAAAAACCTAATTAATTGATCAATTGTAATTTTTTATATATGTTTTTTTATAAATGCTTCATATTTATGATGGCTAAAAATTGTGGTTACATCAAATTTTGGGGTTTTTGTCAATTGTCAAAAAAAGTTTTTTTTGACATGACGTTTAAAACCGATGAAACTGTCAATTGTCAAAAACTTTTAACCCCGTTCTGTGGCGTAAAATCAAATCTTTTTGGAGGCTTAGAAACTAAACTATTCGCATTTCTTCGAATCCAAAGTTTTGGAACATTTCAAATATGGCTTTATGCGCAAATGGATGGGAGTAATAAAGAGGGCTCGACCCGAGGTTTATATAATTTCATTCTTAGTTACAATTTTAAAATCATGAAGTTATGGAAAGACTTAAAAATTTACATAAGTAATGCTGCTCTATTCAGTAATCTACAATTGATTTAAATTCTACATACCACAACACTAATCATACTTTTTATGTCATATTAGATAAATTATTGGTAGGAAAAAAAATATGATGAGCACAACAAAACAAAACAAAATATGATGAGCATAGGAAAAAATTGTTTATTAGTATTTACCTTTACAAATAAATTATGTTAATAGAATCCATTTTTAAGTGCAGAAAATGAAATAAGTTAAAGCTAATTAAATATATATTTTTTTCCATGCTTGGAGATTCGAAATTTTCGTCTTTGCTTCTAGATGTACCAATATGTTTATGCTTTACCCCAAGTACAATTTTAACACTGTATTAAAAAGAGAGAGAGAGAGAGACTTTTATAATTTAAAAACTGACATGCATTGCAAAAATATGGTATAATATCGGACTGAAATGTTTCTGAAAAAAAAAAAAGCCATGTCATTTTATTTCTGAAATTGAGTGGAAGCCATCATTTATTTGATCAGTTTTTAGATATTAAGATTTTTTAGAAAAATCATGTTGAAATCTAACAAGTGAAGTAATAAGTAAAATTATTTTTCGATACAAAATTTTATTAACATGTAATGTACAAAATTGGTTAAATTAATCATTATAGTTATTAAAATAATTATAAATACTAGTGGGCTACGCCCCCTGCTCGCTGACGCTCGCCAATCCCCGAAAATTGCTACGCAGTCTTATATGGTTTACTTCGCAAACCAAGCTCGCTTCTCTCGCTACTAACTTAGGTACATTGCAAATGCACAAAATTCTAAGGATTCAAAACAATCATTCAAATCCATATAACAACTTTTTTTTTTTAAAAAAAATTACATCTTTTTAGTAAATACTAAGTCATTAAAATAAATTTTAATTCAAAAAAAGACTCATTGACTGAGACTCATTTTTCCATGAATAACTGATAACAATAATAAGACAATTAAATTCGTGATATAAATCAAAAATCGTCAAATAAATTCGTAATATATAAATTTGTGAAAAAAAGCACTTTCGACAAAATACTAAAATAGAGATCTATCGACAAAGACTACTCACTTCTGCCTAGCTTAATAGTATGAGATTGCCGTAGCTGATGCTCTCTGGTGATTTCAGTTTCCGTTTTTAAAAGCGCTATATGTTGAGCCTCCTCAGCTAGATTTGGCATGTGACATTTTTAGCGGCAATCATTGGTCGATTTTCTACCGTTGCCATTCGGGGAGTTGTAATGAGGCTTTTTTTTGTCGCCGTGTAAAAAAAATATATACATATAGATGCTTTCTTTCTTTTGCAGTTGGGATTCCACCAAAACGAAGAGCTCTCTCTGGTGGAGGAGTAATCAAGCCAACGCCTGATATTTTCAACGTGAGTTCTCTTGCTCGGAGTTCTGTAGTGAACAACCCTTTGAATGGGAGGGCTAAGATGGCCACTATCACTCGAGTGGGTGGACGCAAACAAATGATCAGTTGGGTGGATGCCCCCGATGACGTTTACTTTGTAGCCACTGATTCAACTAAGTGAGTGTTGACATACCTGCAGAGTCAGATTTGGCTATTAAGGGCAATTTAGATATTCTAGCATGATTTTTTTTTTTTTTTTTTTTAATTTTGTTTTTGTACCCTATTGTAACTGCACTAGAAATTTTAAACAAAAAAGGAGGATATTTGTTTTAAAGTTAACATGGCAGCACGCAATAAAATATGAGCTGTTTCAGTAGTCTCAGTGAAGATCGTACGGCATCTCGGTTTGACTTGGGACTTGCATTTTTTTTGCATCAAGCTATTTATATTGTAACATTTCTGACAAGTCGACATTCAAAAATCTTCAAATTATAATACATTTTATTCTTGTGTGTTATGTCGAGATGAAATATAAAGTGATTTTATTGCTTCAAAGTTTTTGTTAACTAAGCATATGCTACGCTTGTTTCAAAATATGAATTAAAATTTACCAGCATTGGCTTTGCTGCCAGTTAGACTTTTGACAAATAGTTTTATTTTGGGCCAAAAAACATTAACTTGCAATTTAGTATTATTTGTCCATAAATAATGGTCACCATTTTTTTCTTTAATGATAAGGGATAACTTAAACACTCATGTTAGGTGGGTTGTCACTCGTTTATTTTTCTGAAAAGTTTGTGGGGAGAAAGCTTAGTTCTGTCCTTAATATTTTTAGTTTGCCACTAAAGCATTAAATGTTAACATTTTGTCATGGATACATGTTTTTGTATGTCACTCATGTTCGTTAAAACACATTGATAACATCGTTTGCTTGCAGACAAGCTAGAGTGGCAACCCTGTTCAACCTCCCATCATCCATGTTTCTCACTATTTCATAAAACATATTTATTTTCTTTTGCTACTACAGTTGTTTGCACGAAATATTGATGTTTATATTTTGTTTATATTCTTTTTAACTTCTTATTTTTCTTTATTCCTTTTGTGTTTGTTTAGTTTATAGTTTGTCTAAATTGTCCTGTTAAATTTCCCTCTCTTTGAATGTGTGCAAAACTTTTGGCACACCGATTGCAACACTTCCTTAATTGAATAGAAGGCTGTTGCTCATTATTGACTTGTTTAAAACTAACCTGCCCCTTCTATCTAACACTTTTTTTTTCCACGGTTGCCACTCTTCAAAATCAAATTGATATTTTAAAACAGCTCAGTTTAAAATTCAATATTTTAATGTGAGCTCTAAATGATGAATAGAACGTGTTAAGTAGGTAACATTTTTTGCTACATTCTTACAGTAAACCTATTCTTGACATTACTGTATTTTATTTATCTTCGCTTAGTTTTTAACATAAAGTACTATATATTTATTCTATCATTATTTTTTTCTTTAAAATTATGAAATATGCTAAATATTTTATTAAAAATTATTAATTTTAAATTTACTATGTGAAAATTTACGAACAGTTTAGTGGTTAAGTTTCAGTTTTCATAATCGTTTAAAGATAGTGAGATTTATTTTATCTAATATTATGTTATAAATTTTAAAAGAGAGAATTCAAACTTTGTTGATAATTTGTTTTGAAAAAGCTGGGTTTTTAATTATTCGGCTAAAATCAATCTTTCATAACGCTACTTAAAGATGAATATTTGTTCTAAATTGGGTTATTGTAGAGAGTTATATTCAGTTTGACGTCCGAGTATCCAAGACAACGTTATTGCGTTAAAAAAAAATTCTACATAAGAGTGGCAACCCATGTATATGATGTTTGCATATATATTCGCATTGTTTAAAATACCAATATAAGAACTTGATATTATACTTTATTTGAAAAATATGTTATGGATGTCCTATGTCACTTTAAACCTAAATTGTCTTCTATGTAATATAATTGTTTTACTTTTGCATTTTTGTTTTAGTAATATTTGTTTATGGAAAAAACTTTTTAATACTTGCTAATAAAAACTTCTTTTTGCTGCACAAATGAAATGACAGAAGATTTTACATGTTTGAAGTTTTTTTTTTTCATTTTTTTTATTAAGTAAAAAGTTTTCTTAGCAGTTTTTTAATATAGCATTGATAAAAATAGTATGTATTGATTTGCAGTATCTAAATAATGGCAGCTATTTCATTTTTTTTATATATATATAATTTGGCTTTTTGATCCAGATACATCCGTAGCCTGTCAAATTTCCTATAAATTTTTTCATGCTACTATAAAAAAAAATACTATTTCCATTTAATTAATTAAATTATAGTAAGAATTTTCAATTTGTATAAAAAAAATTTGAAAATTGTTTAGTAGACTACAATTTTGCACATTTTAGCTGTATTTTTTCAACCCATTTTAAATTTTGTTACTTATATTCTGCTAAACCATTTAAATATTGTTTAACTTTAGTTTTTTACAAATAATGGTTTACTTTTGTTCTGTACAAAACAAAAGTGTTACTATCAATGTTCTACCTATGTACAGTACAAAAATAGAACTATTTATATTCTACTTTTGTTTTTGTATAAAACATTCATATTCTAATCTGGGGGAGGGGGACTGGCTTTCTCTATAAATATTAATCAGATTCTAGATTAATATGATTTTCGGTTTGCTTATTAAAGAGTTAACAACAGCATAGTAGAACATAATGAATTGAATTAAAAAAAATGCTTTAGTGCTTAATTGAAATAATCTTCATTTGTAAATATTTATGAATTACAACATATCTTATTTTTGGTTTACTTAATTATATAAATGCATGATAAGTATTGTTCATCCTTAATAGGAAAATTTTTTGAAATTGCGCCCTTTATATCTTAATTTTTGATGTCCCGTTTCTACTTGCACTAGGAAAGTTTTTTCTATTTTAAAATGTATAAGATTTTAATTTAGAAAAGATAAAAAAGAAATTATCATTTTTGAATTACCGACAATTTGACTAAAGTACATGACTTTTCCTAATTTAACCTGAACTATTTAAACATCTATTGGATAAATGTTTTTTGTATGTTAGAAAAATTTTAGTAAGATTTTTTTTTTTTTTAACAGTTTCAAAATAATTATGAATTAAATACACTTTGTAAAATAAATGATATCTATGAGTGACAAAGTTTTATTCTGGTATTTTAAATTGAGAAACTAATAATTATGGGCTTATATTGCAGCAGTTTTAAACTTTAAATATTGAAAGCTTTTTAATAAGCTGAAATCATTTTTGTTGCCCGTTGCTGCATGAAAAAAAGGCAATTTTATCAACCAAAGTAATAATCTACTAAATTCAATAAAGAAAACTCTATGCTTAGTATGAAGGCTGTTCAGATATTATTAGAATACATATTTTTTATTATTAAATTGAGTGGAATTTTAGTATTTTTGATATTTATTTCAAAAATATTTATTTTTAATATTTATGTTTCTGTAACATATACCTAGTTTAAGCATATTTTGTAACTTAAAGATATAGCCATTATGTAAGTAATTATAAATCTTTTTTAATCACCATTCAAAAATATTGTCTTATGTGTAATTTTTTTTTTTAATTAAGATGCAAGTGCAGAATTAAAATATTATCTTTGATTTTAAGAGAGAGTAGTTTGACCTAAGCAATAAGGATAATAACAAAGTTTTAGTTATTATTACTGTAGTTTTCAGTTTTTAATGTTATTATTTTATGCTCATTTATAATTTATTAAAAATAGAAAATAAATGTTAATTTTCAACTCAAAATGGTATATTAGTACTCAACAAATTTATTTCATTTAGATAAATAAGAGTTTCATGACCTTGTGGTGCCCTAGTTACCTTTCCTCCTTTTTTGTTTTTCTTTGTTTTGCCCTTTTTTTTTTTTAAAAGAAAGAATCTTTTTGTGCCTAATACTTATAAGAAGTGTTTGATTTTATGACTTAAGCATGTGTTATAATTTTTCACATCAAGTTTAATGTAATCACTTAAAAGTGTGGAGCCTTTATCTTTAATTTGCTACTCACATACAGGTATTCATATGTTTCATACAAAGACCTAATTTTTTTAAGCTAAATAAAAGCTTGTCTCATTTCATAGCACACCTTTTGGTATTGGTACCAAATTTAAAATTCTGAGAGATCCTTTTTTCTGCAATACTCATTTCAGAATCTTTATTTCAGTTTTCTCACTTTTTTATTTTGCTTATCATTTACCGATATGTAAAAAAGGAAGGGGAAGAAAGCTGAAATGGGACAACAGGAACAGTTGAATAAAAAAAGAACCATATTGGTTAAAAATGCTGTTTTGTTCAATATGAATTTTGGTCGAAATAATCCATATTGTTCGAGAACAGAAATATAATTATTGACAAACTTAAATAAAGCTGGAAACTTTTCTACCTTGAACTCCAAATCTGAATTAAAAATCTTCTGCAAATAATTTATTAATTATTGTACCTTATTGTCAACCCTTTCACCATTGCTTAAAATAGACTAAATATACTTGAGAATTAGTTTTGCATTTATGTTTTTCAATTTTCGTGAAACAAATTGGCATATAAGTGGATAAGCTCATTTTCAAAAACTGTTGATTGACTTCTCTTGTATTACATTGTAATTGGTTTTCACCATTTGTCTTTTATTAAATTTTTGTAGTAATCACTTCCCAATTTTTCTGCTCATAAGTTTTCTTGATTGCTTGCACTACTCATTTTACAATGTATAATGCTGCAAAAATTAAGACCTTTGAAGTTGTATTATTTCTACGTATTTTATTTAAAAAAATATTATAAGTTTATCATTTTCTAGTAATCAAAATTGCATGCTTTACATTGCCATGAATGAAACATATGTAGAGAAAGTGATTTAAGCAAAACATTACTATATTCATGTTTTTCATTTATTTATTTGTTATCAGAATACTTTAGCTTGTGTGAGATATATGTCTACCAAGTAAGAGGACTAAGAAAACAGAAAAAATGTACTTAATAAATAGACATATTGTAATTGTAATGAGAAAAAAAAATGAATTGTAGCATATTTTTTTTTAAATGAGTAATACTTGTCATGTTTTTGTATTTTATGTATATTTGCTAAATGAGTCAGATTATTTTTTGAATAATTCTTTAAAAGCACTACCGCCTTTTACCGGTGAAGGTTAACATATTCAGCTTCAGTCAACTGGTCCTACCTAAAACATTGCTGCACCAGTTTCCCTTATAAAAGTTTTTTATGTAACTTTCAACTAACCAAATTTGAAAATGATTAACTTTTATTTTTTCTTATACCTAATTTGCTAATTGTTTAGTGAAAAAAAAAAATAAGCAATTAAAAAAGATAGACAACTGCTGCTTCTGCTCATAGAAGATGAAAAAGCCTTATAATTTTCACCTTCTCATAGTGTATCAACTATCCAGATTTCTGTTAAAGTGCAAGTTCAATAGTTTTTTTCTGATAAACTATCAGTTTTCAATCTTTTGCCCTATTTTCACTTTAGGCACTTGAATTTAAGTACATTAAAATGATCCCAGTTATTTTAATGCAACATTAAAACAATTAAAAAAAGAAGGAAATAAGTATTATTATACCGCATTATTGTTCATGGAAAATTAATTATTGTTTATAGAAACTGTACCTGAAGAACCTTTTTACATGCTCTCTGTTAACAAATTTCTTTTAATTATTATTTTGCCTTTACTAACGACTATAAAACTACCATTTACACATTGTTCTCTATTCTAGAAAAAATCCTATTATAATCAATATTCGGATTTTTTTTCTTAGTTCAAAACGTTTAGTTTGCCTTTGTTTATCTATTAAATTATTTTAAAAAAAACATTATTTCTCAGCAAGCATCACTATTGCGCACAATTTCTTTACTAATAATTTGTTATAATAATATAAGTACTTGTGTTAGAAACACAAATCAAGCACAAGAAAAGAAGAATTTTTAAAGATATGTATGTTAGCAAAAACAGCACTTCATCAGGGGGCACGCTGTTGTCAGTGGTTATACCAAAATTTGTAGTGGTAATACAAAACTTTTTAAATTGTTAAAATTAAGACAAATTTGGTTTCAGAGCCTTTCCATTTTGACTTATTGTGAATCTTATTTTGCTTTTTTTTTTTTAATTTGCTTAAATCAGTTTCATTCTTTGATTAGATAACTACTTGTGTGTCAGTTGTATTTTCATTTTCTTAACTTATAACACTTATTTTACAACTAATAAATCATTAATCAAAAAAGTTGGAAGTATAAAAAATAGTAAATAGTAGCTCAAACATAAAAACAATAAAAGAGATCAGTTTTGTTTTTAATATAATTTGCTGCAAAAATTGTTAGGCAAAATACAGTATTATTTTAATATATTTATGAACATATTATTTTTATGCAAATGTGAATGAAGGAAACTTTGAACCTTCATTTTCAAGTCTAAAATTATTTCCTTTCTTTCTGTAGTCATAATCATTTCCGAGAAATTAAGGCTTTTCTCATTTTTGTTGCTATTTAATTTTATAAATGACAACTTATAAGATTTCTTTTATCACCAGCGTTTAATTTTGCATATCTCTGTACATCCATTCTCATTAGAATCGTGAATAATGACAATCATTTTGATGATTACAACAAATACTATCAGTTTATATCTGTGAATTTACTTCAATTATAAAAGAGAAAACTCTTTGGGAATCTATGCACAGCTTACTCAATTCTTTCAAGCTTATGATTGAATCATTGAGAACTGGACATACTTGTTGAACATACTGACATACATTGACTGAACATACTTGTTGCACTTCTTCAGCTTGGAACTGTATTGTTTTGAATATCATTGTTAAGGCCATACTTACGGAGGTGGGGGGCGACATGGACAGTAGTTCCAAAACCTAGGATTGTCAAGGATTTGGTTAAAATTCTTTGCAAAAAGAGTAGTTTATTTTTAATAAAATGATAAAACAGTTGCAGAAATTTGTTTTATTTATTTATATATATATTCAAATCTTTTTTGCGGATATAATCGTGTGGGCTGATGAAAAGATTATATCTTTTATTTTCAGGATTTTTTAAAAAAATGTTATTCTTTTTTTTTCTTTTTCTCCCAGTTGTTTGTTATTTTTTTAATTATTATTATTCTTTTCCCCCCTTTTTTCATATGTCTGTAATTTTCCTTTGTTTTATCTTTATTTTGAACTTATATATATACACACACAACATAAACTAATAAACATTTCGTTTTAAGCCGGAATAAGTACTTTTGAAACAAGTAAAAGTTCTTTTCTTTTTTCTTGTGTTATGAAAATAAATATTTTAAGAACCTAAACATAAACTACACTTTTGAAAACTATTCCACAAATTTTACATAATATGAAATTAAGAGCTCGTGTGTTTTAAGAAGAAACCCATAATCTTTTCTTTTTTTTTTCCCTGCTGGTTTTAAAGCTTGTGTCCATAGATTGTTCATAGATTCAGTTGTCACTGTTGTGCAAATTATATAGTTTTTGTAAAATTGCTTAAGAAGTAATTGATATTGTATACTGATAAGTTTGTATTTCATCTAGGAAGCTAAGAAAGCAGATAACCATCCCTGAACTGAGAAGATCGGCTCGTAAACCCTGTAGAAAACTGAATGTAAAAATTCCATTCTACTACGATAACCCACCTCCCGTTGTCCCTCCTCCTGCTCCTAGCACTGCTGCAGCTGCTCCTCCTGAAACTCTTGCTGTCATTGACTGAGGATTTAAACATAGGATTTTCAACTAAACAAACAAACTGGCTCTCAACAAACACAGAAGCTGTGTCTGCATTGGTTTTTTGTTGTCAGAACAATTACCCTATTTGAACTCAGGTGTATTGGTGATGATTCAAAAAGTTCTAGTTTTTGGTGCAAAGTGCTTTTATAAACTACTCTTTGCCTTTGGAAGATAGTCTGTGTTGTGCTTCCTATATTCAAATCTCAGGTGTTTTATGGAGGATTCTGTTGCAGCTTCATTGGCTGAAAATGATCATAATATCATTTATATATCTATTTCTGTGTGTATTGTGTATAAACAAATCCAGAAGCATTTTACAATTGTTGAATCATATTAATATCCTTCAATGGTAGTCACTATTTCAATATTTTGCAATGGTGGATCTGTATGAATGGTTTAGCATTTGTTGAGGCCTTTTTTTTTTAAAAAAAAAAGGTCGTTTGTTTTATTTTACTTAACTATTCTTATGTGCATTATATTTTGTTTTTATCATTGTAAACTTTTTTTTCTAAGTGCTTTATGTAATGTGTGACCAAAAATGAATGAAAGCTATTATTCTGTTAATCATCTCTTGTATAAAGTTTGACTTCTCGTGTCAATATTGAATTCTGCATTTTTTTAATTACCTTTTTTATTACATAATTGTTTACTATTCTAGTTTTGTCCAGCCCTTTTTTTCCTTTTTCAGTAGGTTAATAATGTTATTTCTTGTGCACGAACATTTAAGAACCAAGTCGGATAATCTCAGTAAAAAATGAATTTTTTTCAAAAACTTATATCTCGTTTTATATTTAAAAAAGTTTGTTTTTTAAATAGTCACTAAATTCTTTAACTCTTAATTGAATTAATAATTTGCATATTTAAAAAATGAACTTAATTTTTGACTTAAAAAAGAAAATACTGAAACAGGATCTGTGCTTGCATAACTTTAAAATATTTCAGGGAATGGATCAAAATTATTTAAGAAACAGCTATTTTTTAATTTCTCTTTATTTTTATCCTAAAAAAATTATAAATATAGAATTAATTTAAACTTTTATAGATTGCCTTACCATTATTTCGTTACACTGTTAATTAGATCAAATTATTTCTGTTAGAGAGCTGGTAGCCAAGATTAGTGCTGAAAGATATCAGAATTTTAACAGTGCAATAGATTTTCAGTAAAAATCAATATGTCACGATATTTTTCATTTTAACTAATTTACATGATTGTTAGATTGGTTAATTTTATTTCATCCTAATAATGTTCATCAATGACCACAATAATGTATTACTTATTAATGATAATGCTGATGGCACAATCTTTATCTTAAATCTTTTTATTATCCTGAGAATTATTTTTAAAACATCATTATCAGGATGTTTAAAAGGTAACAATATTTCATAATATATTGCCCAGCTGTAGTTAAAACCGCATGTCTCATAATGAGTTGTTTAAAATATTTTATGCTATATTTTCTTTGTAAATGAAACGAAAAGAATATCATTGAAACTTTTTTCACTTATAAATCTTTATTTAATCAAAAAGTAATGTTATATTATCCTGTGGTGATGAAATATTTTCTTTTATTGAACTAAAAATACTATTTGTTAAATTACATAACTCATAATGTCAAATAGCATGGACATGTTCAAGTTTTTGTTGGTAAACTTGTCCCTCACTTCTTTAAACAACTCAAATTCAAATCTTAATTTATTACCATTGAATTATTATTTTTTATTATTATTTGTCTCAAGCATCAAAAATATCTCATGTCATTCATTATTCATATTAACTTCATACACTTATTCATATTGTTTAAACTTAAAAATCATTTTCTCTTCATCTTGTTGAACCATTAGTGCATAATTTTACCAATAAAGCCATTTCTTTCAAGTTTATTGTGTAATTTTTTTTTTTTTTTTACATAAAGTTATTGATTTTTCTCTAATTATTAGATGAGGTGCCTTTAAGAACAGGGCCCGACTTAGCCTAACTGGGGACCGGGGCAAAAACTTGTTTGGTGGCCACCCTCTGCTTCATTACTTCAGTAATAAAGAATTGAACTTTATGGAGGCCTTCTGAGCCGAAATCTGCGGGTTCGATCCCCGGCCCAGACACCGGATTTTCGGGATGCAGAAAATCCTCAGCGGCCATGTCATATGATTGTGCGGCATGTAAAAGATCCCTGGAGTGCCTTATTGGCTCTTGGCATTTCCGGCAAAATTAAAAATTCCTAGTGCACTTTAGCATCCAAATAGAGTGTCGGTGCTGCCATCTAGTGTGGCAGAAACTAGACGTCCGGTATCTCACCCATTGTGGTGGTCTTGAAAGAGTGGATACTACTTCTGGAGAACGCACTAGGTCTGCTCATCGGCAAGACTGATTGTGCAGATCATTGGAAATAAAATAAAAATCTTTATGGAGGTATTTAAATTTTTCACTTCATTATATATACAACAAGAAAATTGATTAAAACTAAAATAGCTATTAAGTCCCCCCCCCTTCCAATGGTCAAACGAAATACCATTTTGTCCAATTTATTGATTTTCTAACAATTCTTGCGTCCATCATGCCGAATGCAGTTTTAGATTGTTAACTTTGTCATCCAGCTGCGAAAAATTCATATCCTTGCTGTCATTAGGGCGGAATTCAGCTAAATTTTCGCAATTACGATGGCCCAATTAAGCCAATGAGATGCTTGTATTTTTCTAAACCATAGATATAAAGGCCCCTATATTAGTCCCTGTTCTAAACATATCACATTTTGCAATGTGAAAATACAGGCTTTTGATTGGCCAAATTCGTCCATCGTAATGGCGAAAATTTAACTGAATTCCGCACTTGAAAGCCATGGATTTACGAGATATAGATTTTCTGAGTTCTTACGATAGATTAATGAAGAAGCTAACATAAAATTGACCAATTTTACAACTGATATTTTGTTTTTAAAAAGTTCATTAAAGAAGGAAACCTAAAATAAACTTTCAATTCGATTTGGGGTCTCCTCTGATGCGGGGCCCGGGGCAAGTGCGCCTGCCTTTGTCAGGCTCTCCTTAAGAACATCTTATTAATAAATACACATAAGGGCGACCTTTGTGCTGAAATACAAAGGAAGGTAAAACAACGTTTAAGAGCTCAAAAAATATATGAAAATGCAGACAGCTGTTTCGGATGCTCAAAGGGCAACCTTCATCAGTGCTATTTAGAGAGGTTGCACTGATGAAGGTTGCCCTTTGAGCATCCGAAACAGCTGTCTGCATTTTCATATATTTTTTGTGCTCTTAAACGTTGTTTTACCTTACATCTTATTAATAGTTCCTTCGTTGAATAATCGCACTAGTTATGTTCAATCAAATTTAGTAAAAGACAGAGCAGTTAGTACTCCACAGCATCGAAATCTCACCAGTGGAAGTGTTTACAGGCTTCGACCAGTTTAACACAATCAGTGTGAAAAGGCATGTTACTGCAAGTGGAGTGACATGAAATTTTGCTTCGTGTTGGGCAAAGTGGCATCGGAGACACTGGAGGAGAATGTGAGTAAAACGTGTATTTTTGTTGGTTTAAGTGCTTAAGAGACGGAAAGTGTTTTTCTTTAAAATTGCACGATGAATCAACTATACTTTAGAAGTGTCAGCTAGCAGTTTTCCGCTGGTGTAACAACTCCTGGTTCCAGTTGTCTAGAACACTGTGTGTTATAAGGTTAAATAATTTCCAGTAGTACTGTGTAGTGTGTACAATTAAGACAAATTTTGACCAAACGTTGAACCTGAGAGATATTAAAATCTCCTTAGTGAATTACTTGTTTCTCTCTTTTTTTTCATTAGTAACAGACAGGGAATTATCGTTGTATAAACGAATTTTATAATTTTAAAAATTTTTTCAATTCGCTTAAAAAGTTCTTGAGATTTGGCGAGATACGCAAAAAGTCTTCTTCTTCCTTATCCCCAAAGTTAGCAGGGCTAAACAATGTCCATGAAACTCATGACCCGGAGGAAGTCGACACCAAAAGTGACCACCAGAATGTCCCCTTTGTCCAGACCAAGACAGTCCAGGATATGTTGGGGAGAAGCCTGCATGTTGTGGCACCTGGGGCAGTTTGGGTAGGCTTTAACACTGTGCCGTCTGTTCCTTGCGACAAAAAGTAAAAACATTAAGGGGTACAAACTTTGGACCGCTCTCCTGACCAAACTATTGGGACTGTATTTCACAGATTGCGGCTATCTCCTACATCTTGGGGGTCAGAAATCCGAATCCGTCGAGAAAAAAAGTATGTTTATTCAGAGAAAGTACGTTTTTGTGTCTGATTTCGCAACTTAAAATACTGTCTGCAGTAATTGATTATAATACTTAAGGTGACCCTTTCGCATCTTTAAGATTGAATCCTAAGACGTGAAGATTCAATAATTAGATCAAATGTTATTCAGGATGGTTAGATTTTTATTTTGCGCTCTGTATATATCGCCCTGTTAATGAACGTCGAGCAATGTCCGAATGCACAAACTTAAAATTCACACAATATCTCTCTAGTATTAAGATTTTTTACTGCATTTTTGTTCATAGTAACTTATATTTTTTAACAATTTCAGGCCAACTCAATTTTAAAACAAGCGCACTAATTTAACGAGATAATTAACTCATTCCTTTCGTACTTAATATTAACTAGTTTAACTTTATATCACGAATTTGTCAAATTTAGTACAATTTAGAAGTTAGTAATTAATTTAGTTCAGCTAAATTTAGTACAATATTATATTTATCATGAGAGTATACGATATTTTTTCTCTCGCGGTATGAAGACATCAGGGCATAACGTCTGCATTTGTTTATACCATAGAGCGATTGCTGACTATGCAATCTGTCTATGGAAAGAACTCCCCTTCGCCATTTGTCTGGAGCAGTGGCGTAGACTATGGTTACGAGGCTTCACTATTTCAAGTTGGGTCAATATTTAAGACAGTTTTGGACTGCGGTCGGCGAGAGAAAGGGAATCAGAGGAGAGAAATGCTTTCCTTTTCGAAATGTGCTATTTCTTGTTTCCATAGCAGCAGACGATCTTAGACTTGTGGCGAAGGGAGTTTTTGCTATAGATAAATTATACTTCTAGCCAATAAACCCGTCTTAGCAGGGGTGTAAAGCACGGTAATGACAAATTGCTTTTTCTAACACAGCGTTTGTTGTATTTTAAAATTTTAAAACTACGTTTTTCAAGTGTGCTTAAAAAGTAGGAAATAATTCTATTTTCATCTCATCTGGCACAGAACTGTAGTTAAAATTTCAGTAGTTTCAAAGAAGTTAAAGTTTTGATTGACGATACGTTCTGTTTGAAGTAGTTAGGAAAAGATTAAATTTTAAAATAACACGCTTTATTGATAATGATAATTAAACAAACTTTTGGGAATATTTATTGAGGTATTACAGTATGAAACTAGCAAGGACACAGAGAAAATGTTTTATTCATTTATTGAAATATTTCCATTCATACAACTTTGTATGGCATACTGGGTGATAACTTAATTCAAGGATAAGACTTAAAAGCTAGAATCTGAACTTATCAATAATGTTATGTTTAGCTGAAAATTTATAGTTTCTATTTTTCTTGACGGTGCATCACTTTAAATGACGTTTTAAGATCATTATAAATTACTTGCTCCAATTGTAAAATGTTTTTGCCAGTAACTGGTCTTATTAGCATCATTATTAGCTTTTTATTTATTCTTGCTTACTAATAATTGATTCGGTTATGGAAAGAGCATTAAAGAATGGATTAAGTACATTTAATGGTTTTCACGAAAGAAGTTTTCGGCAAATGTTCGTAGAACAAAAATGACAAAAACAAAAAAGGCTGGAAAATAGCACATAAGGCTCTTAGGCCATAATGTTTAACCTGACAAGGTGGGAAATGATCAATTGACGCATTAGGAGAAAAGTGAGTGCCATCTTGCTAGGCGTGCATGAGTTATAGTTTGTCTACGCTAAGAACTCCCCCAACCACAAAGTCTGAAGCCGTCTGCTGCTATGGAAACACGAATGGCGCATTTCAGGGAGGGTAGCTTCTCTTCACTCAAGGGTTAACTAGGAAGGAAAAGATTCCCTTTCTCTCGCCAAAACCTGACCTAAACAGTCACCCCAAACCCCTACTTGAAATAGAGATACCTCGTTACCATAGTCACCGTCACGGGTCCAGACGAATGGGTAAGGGAGTTCATACTTTAGACAAACTATAGTCACTCATGTAAGCCTAGCCATCTCGGGGATGTTCAAATATAATATAACATAAGCATATTTTTGGTAATTTCGGATTTCCCTTTGTCAGCAAAAATAGGCAAATCACAAACCCCCTTTAATGCTTACGTACTCATAACACTGTACCATTTGTTTTTAATTTTACTGTCGTAATAAAAAATGTCACTTTGCATGAAAAATTTGTTTTGTTCTAATTGATTTTTCTTTTGGTACTCAAAACACTTGACCTAAAAACCCTCCAAAAAAGTTTTTTTTCACAATTTTTTTTCTTTTCTCAAATTCAACTTTTATTCCAAATTTGAATTTTTCTTTGTTTTTTCATACATTTTTTTAAATCGAACTCTTTCCCTCCATTAGGTGCTTACGCTATATTTGAACAGTCTACTAGCAATTTACTTTGGTTTGCTTACTCAAAATAATGTGTGTGGTTGTGATAGTTTTAATAAATGACTACAAGCACTCATCTTAATTCAGTTCGAAAATATTATAGCTCCATAAGTAATGATAGCTCCAGCCGTAGTCAGCACCAAATTACAGTTTATGGTGAACACTCCTCCTCCACTGAAATTGGGTGAGACAAGAGTAATACTCTTAATCATCATCTCAAGCAAAACTAAAGTTTCTGTATCCGTAGAATGTTTTACGACAGT